AAACCTAAGTATATGCTATCAGCCGCTTGGCTTTTCACCAATAATTAAACAAGGAGATTAATCAAAGTACTGTAAGCAAAACAGTACAGATGAAAGGATGTTCACATTAGTAAAAACTGGTGAATTCCAAGATGTCCTGGTGGAGATAGGGAAATCTCTATGACAAATCATCCAGTTATTTATAAGATGCAAATAACACTTCTGTTTGATGCTAATAAAATTTTCTCATCAAACACTTTTGAGTAAATTTAGGAGACATGGGCTTAAAAAAAAGTGGCCTTTTTGTGGACTACTAATTGACTAAAAAACAAAAAAATACTAAAATAGAAATAAATGGGACATTTTCTCAATGGAGAGATGTAAGAAGTGAAAAAACAGGGATTGTAACAAACGGCAGAAAAATATTTTTAAACTGGCTGATTAGAGAACCCAGGGGCAAATCAGACTGAATTTAAGAAAGTGAAAAGAGATGCACACTGGGACACCTATAACTTCATGTATAAACTGATGGGATCTGAGATATCCACCAACTGTCTCAGAAAAAGACATTAAGAGCCTATTGCATATCCCAAGGGTCTTCAAACTTGGCAAGTTTAAGACTTGTGGACGTCAACTCCCAGAATTCCTGAGCTAACATGACTAAAGGAAAAATTCTGGGAGTTGAAGTCCACAAGTCTTAAAGCTGTTAAGTTTTAAGACCCCTGGCATAGCCCAATGAAGATGGAAACTCTGTGTAGCAGTTGTAAAACATAAAAGCAAAATCGATGCTTAGGAACATTATAATAATTAAAATAAAAATGCCAAAATTGTTATGCTCTTATATAGATCTATGATACATCTGCAGTTTGATTTATGCAGAATGATTTATGTTTATGTAATTGAGGAGGAATGTAGTAGAACAAATAAAATTGCACAAGAGGACAATAAAAATTATTGGTGACCTAGGAATTAATAATCAGAAGATATATAATGGGCATTAACATGGATAACTTTAAAAGTCCAGAACAATCCCATTGGCCACTGTGAAAAACTCTCCCATTGGAGAGCCAAAGTAGTAGAGTAAGTCAAGTATTGAATTAGGATCAAGGAGATCAAATTCAAATACATTCTCAATCATGAACAATTACTGAACTTGATGCCAGAAATTCGCTCTCAGCTCCATCTACTTAATAAAGGAAATGCTATAATTGCTGCCAGAATAGACTAAGTATAACCTGTAAAGTGAAGTGAAATAAAATGAAACACAATACAATACAATACAATACAATACAATACAATACAACACAACACAATGCAACCTGGCTCAATAATGGTAACCGCGAGAGGGATCTTGTAGTCCTAATGGACAATCACTTAAATATGAGCCAGCAGTTACCAAACTGCTGCAGCTACCAAAAAGTCAACACAGTCTTAGGCTGCATTAACAGAAGGATAGAATCAGGGTCATGTGAAGTGTTAATACAAAATGTCTTGGTAAGACCACATTTGAAATATTGCCACCAGTTTGGTCACCATAATATTAAAAAAAGAGGCTGAGACTTTAGAAACAGTGCAGAGAAGAGCAACAATGATGATTAGGGGACTGGAGGCTAAAACAGAAGAAGGTTGGAGGAATTGGGCATGTCTAGTTTAATGAAAAGAAGGATTAGGGGTGACATAATAGCAGGGTTCCAATAATTAAGGGACTGTTACAAAGAAGAGGGGGGTCAACCTATTCTCCAAAGCACCTGAAGGCAGGACAAGTAATAGATAGAAACTAATCAAGAAGAGAACCAACCTAAAACTAAGGACAAAATTCTTGATAGTGAGAACAATTAATCAGGGAAAGGACTTGTGCCACTGGAAATGGTATAGAGTTTCTTGACTGAGCTGGAGGTTGGACTAAGAGACCTTCAAGGTCCCTTCCAACTCTGTTATTCTGTTAGAGATAAGGCTGGACTAGAGGCAGGCAATTTGTTTACATTTGCCATGTTTGAATTCAAAAACAGCAGGTCTGGGAGAAAGAAATTTGCTGGAAAGGTCAGCTGGTGTACAAGTCATGTAGAAGAGAAAGGGAATGAAGAGCAAGGTGTCTTCTCTTTGTCTTACTCATCCTGCAAGGCTTCTCTGGAGCTTGTCTCTGTCAAAATTCAGAATAACCAAGCTGTTTTAGGTTTGGCTTGTGCTAGATTGCAACCTACCTGGAACAGTACGCCCAAGTATTGAGCCTCAATATGTTTGTTTCAGGCACAGAGAGCAACACATTTTTTTTTCCTTTTCATTCAAATAGCTAGTAGGTCTTGAAAAATGAGTATCTCTTATTCCGTTCAGATTTGTGAAAGGTATCTTCCTTAGCCTGTGTAAGGTCTGACAAAGCAACACCCAGCAGTTCCCAGGGTAGAGAGGACTATTATCTAAATATGTCTGAAATGCCCAATGTCATCAAATGAAGGCATCCATTAACTCAGAACGGCAGAACACAAAAAGCCTAGTCTCTATATTTTGGATTACAGAACTGTATAGACTTGTGATATTTTTTTACCTCCACAAAGAGCAAAAATCCGTATGTATATGGCATAATTCTTGACCTCAACATAGAATTTAATTTGGTTGCGCCATACCTGAAAGTCTTCTACCCATTCTTGAATAAGGTTTTAAGTATCTGAAGAATGGAGATTTACTGCCAAACTCTGATACTAAGCTTGACAGCTGGGGAGTCCCACAGTAGAAAACTTGAGGGGGGAGGTCTTCAGAAGGGACTCCTCTGCTAATCTAAGTAATGGAAAGATTAGCAGAAGAGACAATCCTTCTGTTAATAAGGACCTAAAATTATTTACAATGTTAAAGGTCAATGCCATCACCTTAAATTGAGGCCAAGAGGCAATAATCAGCTAGTGTAGGTCTTTTAGAATAAGCTTCACATGATCCCTATACTCCAGTTAAGCAGCCTGGCATTTTCCACTAATGGCAATTTCCAGATATTTCTCAAGTTTAACACTACATAAATTGCACTGCAGTAATAAAGACGGCATGCAGCCATTGCTAAGTTAGACCAGCACAGAAAAGATTGCAGCTGTTGCTTCCAACAAATATGCTGCACTTTACCAGTGCCTCTGCAAATCCAATGGCAGTTGGAGATCAGAGAACAATCTTCAACTGAAAACCTATCTTGTAGGAGAACAGCCTCTTGATTCAGAAGAGGCTTCACTTCTCTTCCCAAGAACCTATTTTTCTCCTTATCAACAGCAGCTTCTTCTTCTCTAGAAGGCAAGCTTAACAGACATATAATGTAGGGAGTAGCAAATCAGCAACAGAGAATATTCTACATTCAAGATATTTCTATATCCAGTTGACAGAATATCTCCTTTTGGGCTGGTAATATGCTTTCAGTTTTCAAATCTGATCACATAATCCAGTGGAATTTATAAAGACACATTTGTCCCTTTAAAAAAATTTTTTCCATTTGCTTTACAAACTGCTTATATACAATAATCTTTTTACAAGACTGTTAATGTCAAAATCTCTTGGTTGGGTTCGATATTTCTTGTTTTCTTCAATAATGTATTTTAAAGGGGAAAGCTCCAAAGGATTTCTGGAGAAAAGTCGTGTGGGTCCACTTCAAAGCCATTTAGTGCCAGGTAACTTTCTTCAAATTATTTGCTTCATCATAATCCATTTGTTTGGAGAAGACAACCTAGTGTTCTCCAGAACTGTTCGATTTCAGCTCCTGTCAACCTCAGCCAACATGGCTGATGAAAGGGGTTGATGCAAGTTGAAATCCAAAACTTCTAGAGAACATTGAATTGTTTATCCATACTAATTTGCATCAGTTAAATATTAAGTGTGTAGACTGGATGGTTGAAGGTATAGTTGTTCTGTAGTGTGTACACTGTAGAGTTGAAGGTATTTTTGTTGTTCTTTACTAGCTTGGAATAGTACACCGAAGAAATGAAATTTTGTATTCTCTACAGAGAGATAGCAGTGATTGTCTAATGACATTTCCTAGCAATTATCTGTGTTTTCAGAACAGCAGATTCAGATCAATAACACAGAGGATTTGCAAAGATGGTGCTATACCCAAATGTCTTTAAACACAATACTATAACTCTTTTTTATTATTTTTCTAAAATAAACCCCTGGTCTGTCATTTTGTTCTGTTTCTTCACTGGAGCTATGTAATGTACATTCATTCAAAACAGCAATAGATACTTGGAATCATAATTAAAATGTTACTTTGCAAATACTATTGAAGCTAAGCAGATTTCTGCCTAGATTGAATCTGGATGAAGAATGCTTGAAGAGTAAGATAAATGTGAAATTAAAAGCTTACTGTGTCAGCCCACAGAATATAGGAATTTAAAAAGTGGAGTAATGAAGGAGTTCAGTCTTTTCACCTGGAGGCAATTCATGGTTCCTCAAATTGTCGTTCTTATTTCTATCTCTTCTCTACTCTAATTTATCTTTGTAGAATAGACTTCTTCAATCAGACAGACTTTTATATGTTGGAGTTAAAGCTTTCAAAATCCTTTGCCAACATTGTCAAAAGCTGACTGGAAATTTGGGAATTTACAATTCCAAAATAATTGAAGGACATAAGATTGAGGAAGTTTGCTATAAAATTAATCAAGATTGGAATCAAAATAGTAGTAGTAGTAGTACAGAAGGAAATAATTCCAATTACAGACAACTGCAGTTTACCATAATTTACTGAAATATAACTCATTAATGTTTTTCAAATCGATTGAAAGATATCATGCTACTAAGTAAAGGTCAAACATATGGGCAGGGGTTTTTAAAAGCAGCAGGATGCATAAAACTCTGCACAAGCTCAAATACGCCTCTTAACGGATAAGTAGATTAAGATATAAGAAGATACATCTGTCAAAGATCAGTTCATCAATGACCACTGATTGTATTTCCACTGAACAGTAAGAAAACAAACAAACAGAAAATAAAGTAATTAAAGTTTTCAGTTCAGTCCTCAAAGGACAGATCAGCTGGACATTTATCTTCATAATTACCTTTAACAGTAACCTGAGCACAGCAGGAAGCTTTTCCGGCAGCATTTTCTGCCAGACACGTATATATTCCATCATCTTCTGGTAAAGCATCTTGAATAGTCAACTTTGCAATTCCATCTTCAAAGTCAGAACACACATACTGAATTGGTTGATCTACAGAAAACAGAAGGAAAAGCAAGAAATTTGCTGAAGTTCCCAGTTTGCACCCACAAATGTGTAATGGAAGAGTTTTCCTCAAATATGGACCCTTTTAAAATAAATCTGTATCATGCACAATCGTTGACCATTTGTTAAAGCATTTACAACAGCCCCAGCAATAAATTATTATGGATACTTATAAAATAGATGAGCAGATTTAAAAACAAAAGAGCACAGTGATTTTATACATATAACAGACTCTTTGGCAAGTGCCTAAAACTGAAAATAATTCTTTCCAAGAATTATTCTCATTGTCTCTTCAACATGTTGTATTGAGAAAAAAGGATGACATTACAAGAACTCTAGTAAATGACTACTTCCCACTTAGAACCAATGTGACAGAATACAGAATTTAAACACTGCCTGCCATCTGTCATATAATCTCCAGACATACCCATCAATACTTGCAGTTGATAACTTGAGGATGGAAAAGAGTTGGGAAAATCAGATAAGGCTTCTATACAGAACAGGGACAAAAAAATTAAAAGGCTAATATGACAAAAAAGAGCTAATAAGACAAAATGGGAATAAGTAATTTTAGAAAGAAGACAAAGAATTTTCTGGATGATTCAAGAGCACTGAAGATAAATCAGTATGGATACCTCTGTGCAAAAAAAATAAGACATGACATGGTGGTAAAAGAGGCATGCTATCCAGCATTGATGCCCAGAGAGGGAGAAAAGGATCCAAAGTCTAAGACAAAGTTCAAAATGCCAGCTATGAGAGATTGCCAGTTTTAACTGAAGCCCTTGATTTACTCTATGGGAAATTTAGTAATGGCTATATTGATAGCAATAGCCTAAAATAGGCATATATAGTAGTTTTAAGAGAAGCAATGCAATTCCAGGGAATGATAGAACTAATATTGGAATGGTAAAAATATCAATTTGATACATTCTATTCTTCTAAAGTAAAAAGCAGCAAAAGATTGGTCTTTTGGCTTTAGTTGACCATCACTTTAATCTTTAATCTAAAGAAAGTAAAATTTTCTACCTTTAAAATTATATGAATATAGACAAATTTTGAACAGGTTTACAAGTCTTTCATGCTTTGTTTTGTATATTGGATCTTAAAAATTCCTCATAACCAATATATATTTGTAGAGAGACCTTGTTTTCTAATAGGCTTTCTGTAATATGATAGGAATTGGGTCTCTTGAGTGATAATGGATAATTTTGTAGCTGGCTGTTTACATAATGATCCCGTGAATCTTTATCACTCTGAAAATCATTTATTTCAGCAGACATAGATACAAAATGCCGTAAAATCTAATTTAATTTGAAAATTAGAAAAAAAAAACTTTCCTTCGTGTAGGGAGCCATCTTTGCTTCACAGCAACTTTGAAAAGTCAATTCATTAGATAATGAATATAATACTTCTGTTTATTTTCCCAACAACAACAACCCTCTCAGTTTGGCTGAGAGAAAGTAACTGGCCTAAAGTCACCCAACCTAAGGAAAACCTTCTACTCACTGTTTCTGGGCCAGAAATTTAACCACTACACCAACCTATAGAAATAATATACTGATGATAAATGACTTCACCAAGATGAAGAGATATAACACAGCTCTTCAATTTGATGCACATGATTGGTACCAATACCTTATACATATTTCTGTTCAACTTCAGTTTGTATTTTATCAATTTATCAACAGAATCTTTGATAGAATTTTCCTTTCTTTAAACGAAAGTTTCAATCAGACGGGGGAGGGGGAGAGAGAAAGGATTAGAAAAAGAGTGAAGTTGGGAGTTTAGGAAAAGAATAATTTCAGATCTTTTTTGCTAGATATACTGTAGATATAAAGTACATTAACATCTTACTCTAAGATTAACAATAGTATACAGTATTTCTATAATCATGAATAGTTCTAATTGTCAAATCCTAGAATTAGAGTTTCATTTCAGTTTCAAACAAAAAGTCCCAAAATGGTCTCCAATAGGAAAAAGTCTTTTCCATAATCAAAGTAGTCAGTTTCACCATCTCAGCCAGCTGAAAACACGAAGGGATGATTCTTTCTTTCCATAAACCCTCAGCTTGGTTAACAAATTGTTCTTGACATTGTTTATCATGAGTTGCATGTTGTTTTTATTATTTGAAAATGTATATGGAAATATAAGCATAACTAAGGACATAATGTAAAAATCAGTTTAAGTATAATGTCAACATAACTTTGAAAGAATTTGAACAAGGAAGGTGCTTCTACCACAAATCATTTAATATCTACAAGTCAATCTGGGGTATAACATTGTTTCCTGAGATGTCAAGTTGTTGGTGGATGAATGAGGATGTGTTGTATGTTGGCGTGCCAAAAATTTCTGTGTGGATTTTTTTTTACTGTTGTGAACCACCCGGGGTTATGTTGCATAAGATGGGGGGAGGGCTATATAAATAATTTAAATAAGTAAATAAATAATCTAAAAATTCCTATCTGTGACTGAATAAAATTTAATGCATAGGATTACATTAGCAATCTTAAAATATTTCCTTGAGTCTATTTTGACTATCCTTTTGTTGTTGCTGTTGTTCCTTCAAGTCATACTTGATCTCTGGCAACTGTCTAGTGGTTTTCTTGTCAACTGTCTAGTGGTTTTCTTGCCAACATTTTTGGAAGTGGTTTGCCAATGCCTTCTTACTATGACTGAAAGACAGTGAAAGGTCAAAAGTCACCTAGATGGCTTCAAGCCTAAAGGAGGACTGGAATTCAGAATGGTCCTGGTTTCCAGCCTGTTGTCTTTAACCACTTCACCAAACTGGGTCTCTAATTATACACAGGCCTTTATTAAAGTCTATTCCTGCCTTTGGTTTCACGAATCCTCTCTTTGTCTATAGAATTCAAGCCTGTACAAGTATTTAGCATACCCTCACCTTATTATATACTTTTAATCTTGTCTCCTCAACTGGAGCCTCTAACAGACAGTGTCTGGCCTAAGTTCAAAGAGATAGTTAAGTACTATCTGTGTACTATGGAATCATCTTTAAAAGCAACCCAAGGTTATTTGAGGCTTGAAAACAACGATATCCATGTTTAACCCAATATGGAAATATTCTAAATTCCAAACATCAAGTTACAGCCTGCCAGCTGAACAATATTTTAACACAGTACTGTCCTGAGTTGCCACTTAGGCAATGTACCATAATTAAGCATGTTGGGTATTAGCAATCATGAATGCAATTCTCGCCTTTATTGGGTAATAGACAACTATCCTTTCCTGCAATGTAATCATCATTTACTGAATGTTGTTTGAATTCACAAGGATAATGTAATTACCCAATTTGATTCTTAAATAAAATTGTCCTAATATATGGTGAGAAGCTACATGAAAATGTAATGTTTGGTTATAGTTTATAAACTAAACCAAGCCAGTACCAAATGATATATAAACAGCTCTGCATCATGATCAGAAGTGAGAGAGAGTTATTTGTGAGTGCTGTAACTTGGGAACAAAAGTAACTTGTTTATGCCTTGCAGATAAAACACTAGGTCTCCTTCATAATTATAAATTCCTGACACTTCTATTAGGCAAAACCATCTTCTGTTGGGTTAGATTCAGGATTTAAGTTCCAAAACCCTAAATGGATTGATTTTTTTTTAATAAAGAAAAAAATCCTGACTTTTCCTCCAAATCCTTTGAATGAACCCAGTTCTGAATGTGCCATTAAAAATGTACATTCACATTGCGGGTGGGGGGGGGGGGAATGGACCCTGAGATGCGCTGAAGCATATAGAGGGTATCCTCCATTTACGATCATAATTGCTCCAATTGTTCTCACCTCTGAATTCCATATATCCTTGCCATCTGTAAATCAGATTTAAATTTTTTTGATCATAATAAATGCAAAGAAGCAACATAAAGTACAATCACATTTATATCACCTACACCAAGGATGTTAAACATAAGGCCCGGCCGCGATGTGGTTGGATCCAGTCTGCGGGCCATCCTGGAAAATATAAGGGGTTGGCCCACATCGCTTCAGCCAGTCTACCCAATGCAAAGAGGAAACATCAGGCCAGTGTGGCTTCAGCCCGGTCTACCCAATGCAAAGAGGAAATATGCCAGCAGTTTGGGGAGTGGTGTCAAGCTGGCCACGCCCACCATCGGCCACACACACACACCCGAGGTCAACTAGAGCCCTGATGCAGCCCTCAATGAAATTGAGTTTGACACTCCTGATCTATGCCATAGAGCCGTGGTGGAACATGCTGACTCTGTAAACCACTTAGAGAGGGCTGTGAAGCACTATGAAGCGGTATATAAGTCTAAGAGCTATTGCTCTTATAGTTTATATAGAAATTGATTTCTATTGTTTCTATTACAAAACAGAGCATGAATCAGAATCGCCTATCTACAGTAAGAGCAAAAAACTAAGCCATAGTCAATATGCATAAATCAGTAGGCATAGTTGGTCAGTGACTTAAAAGACACCAGATAAGGTCTATACTTCGAGTCCTAGCACCACATGACGGAATGAGCTCCCATCACTTGCCTCTGTTCCTCCCAAACTAACAGTTTGAAAGCATGTAAATGCAAATAGGTAAATAGGTGGGAAAGTAACAACGTTCTGTGTTTCACCATACGCTTTGCACTGCAGAGTGGTGTTATGCTGGCCACAAGTCTTCAGACAGCGCTGGATCAATGCCTGAAAGAAATGGAACTGAGCACTGCCTCCTAAAGTCGACGACAATTAGTGGAGTAAAACTGCAAGGATATCTTTACCTTTCTGCAAAGAATCAATGTGCATGAAGAGTTACATGCAGGTGATCTCTAGTAGTAACTCTTGCTGAGTAAATGACCATGGAAGAATAAGTATTTCCCTAATTTTTTCACTGTCATTCTCAGAAATCCTGAAGATGAATCACACATGAAAGGGGATTCTTTATCCTTACTTCACAGAATCCCATTTTCATAAATACTGAATGCTTAAGAATTACCATTTTTGACCTTCAGGAAAAAAATGAGAAGAGTACAAAAAGGTGGCATAAACCTCATTCAGTTGGTAATTAATACATTGTTCAAAATGTAAGCTTATCACTTGAAGTCTATATTCAATTGAAATAAAGCCTATTCTTTGGAGCCAGGAGTATGAAATGCAGCCTTGTCACTAATGCTCCCTGCTGGACAGCTTTTAAAGACTAGCACAGCTGCTGCCTTTTCTCTCTTGTAGATTAGACTCCTCACAGAGGAAAAGAAATTAATGTGTAGGTAGTCCTGGTTTAGCAATCACAACTGAGACTAGCAATTCAGTTGTTAAGTAAATCGTTTACTAAATGAAAACTGTGCTTAGAAGCTTACCAAGCTTACTAAGATTTCCTTTGCTTTGCAGTCCTGTGAAGGTTGTGAAATTAGTTTTTCACCACCATTGTAATTGCAAATAGTCACTAAATAAGAAAGTTGTTGAATGAGGACTCCTTGAAATTGAGAATTTTAAGATAATGAAGATAATTAATCTGTCCTACTGAGTTCTTCAAAGCTGTTCTTAAATTCATGGACAAACCAAAGAAAATAGCCTTTTAGTGAGTCTCAGAACCTGAAAACCATAGAGGAGCACACAAAAATCAATCAGTGGCCTGAGATGAAACTATTATGTGATGAATTTTATTTTAGTTAAAATATTGGTGAAACCAGACACTGTGGTTTGTAATAAATCATTTACGTCTTAGTAGGAAGGAAGTACGAAGTGCTCTGATAGTAGTTTATTAAATAACTTGTGATTTAGCAAACCATAGTTTAGCGTGATACATAAGCCCATATTTATATGTTCCTGTCAAAAGATGAGGCATTGCAAACCTCTTTTCTCTGCTTGTCTGCTCCAGATCATACATAAAAGTGAAATAAATTATCCATTTGTAAAATGTGAGGACAAATTTAGATAATTTGGAACCCATTACTTGATTCTTCATGTGTATGGACAAGTTTTCTGATCGTGACCTTACCGTTAAGGAGCCAGGTGATCTGAGGAACAGGTATCCCCTCAACTGAGCACCGAAGTGTAAAATCCTGCCCTTCACTCACGTGGCAGGATTTCAAGACCCGGAGAAAATGGGGAGGTACCTCCTTCACTTTAGGCCCTACAGATCAAAGCAAAAGGCAGTTAATAAAATTCAATGCTAACAGATGATCTCAGAATAAGATATTATAGGCCAATGACAAAGGTAATCCTTAAAGAGAAAAACATGTTTTACTAATGTGTCAGAAACATAGTCAGCAAAATTAACAAAGTTTAGTTGCTTCTAGTCAAGAACTTCAGATATAATTCATATGAACGGAATTCATTCTAAAATGAGAATGCAAATTGATATGTATACATTATTTTCATTCATATTTCTAATATTGCTTACTTCTTGGTGACTCTAGGTAGCATACAAATTTAACACCAAAGAAGTAGAACAGCAGCAGACAAAAAAAGAAAAGAAAGAAAGATAATATCCTAGTGAAATAGACATAAAACACATCATGAAAAAACCCCTCATATCCCACCCTAGCCCAAAGCTTGGAGAAAAGTCAGGTCTAAAAGGATGTAGCACTGGCATTATTTAGTGTGTTTTATACTATGAAAGGGAGTATCTTTTTTTTCCAGGTGAGGAAACTATTACATACCTAGACAGTCACCTAAGCATACTTTGCAACTAAAAAATGCTTACTTTTTACTGTTAATAGCCACCTGGTTGAAGCTTGTCCTCCAGGATTGAAAGCTTTGCAAGAGTAAAATCCACTGTCTTCCAGCTGAGTTTTTTTCAGGCATAAACAATGGACTCCATCTTCTTCATAGATCAGGATGCTGTCTCCCGTTTCCAGGAGGGCTCCTTCTTTGAACCATTCAACAGTTGCCTGGGGTTTCCCTGAAACTAGTTTATTACAGGTGGATTAAGCATGGGGGTGGTGGTCTAAATTTTACAATTTCACAATGTCTCAGTATTTTTCTTGGCTACCACCAATCCCTAGCTTTGCCCTTTAAAGAGTAACCATAATTTTGACACTGCTAAAAAATTACTCAACTATTCAAGATTAGATCTGTGTTGTTCATTTTTGACTGGCCAATGACAGAAATAAAATTCTGCCTGTCTAGATTAAGTTTTACAATAATAATTTAGAGTAATAATCTTAGTTGCAAAACTATACTATGATATGTTGTTTGGAGAAAGTTGAATTTGATTTTTTTCCAACAAATAATCAAGGCAGAATATTTTCTTGGCTCATCCAATTAATCTTAATCAGCAGACTTAAAAAAGATTTTGTTTAACTAGATCCATAGGACAGTACTGTACAGAAATATCTTCCAAATTTTCCTTCAGACTTTTTTAAAAAAATGAATGTAAATGAAAAGGCCATGTCACATTATTTTTCAGTTTTTAATTTTCAAAGTTAAAACAAACTTACATTAAATCAAAATCCACTAGACTATGCTCGAATTTAATTAAGAGAGTTAATGATATAAAAACATTGAACTCATTGTTCTAAACAGTTGAAACATCGTCCTATTGTGAATTTGGCATCTCTGTCTAGCCAACATGTGGTAGGAAGATATTTCTGAATGCTCTTCCATGTTAAAAAAGTACAACATAACAGTAATTTTAAATCAACTCTGCTAATTCTCCTATATAAGTAGTCCTTCAGTTACGACCACAATTGAGCCCAAAATTTCTGTTGTTTAATGAGAAATTTGTTGAGTTTTGCCCCATTTTGCCACCTTTTTTGTCTCAGTTGTTAAGTGAATCACTGCAGTTGGTAAGTTAGTAACCTGGTTATTAAGTGAATCTGGCTTCCCCATTGGCTTTGCTTGTCACAAGGTCACAAAAGTTGATCACATGATCAACTGCAGAGGTAATAAATATGAACCAGTTGCCAAGTGTCTGAATTTTGACCACATGATCTGCAAAGGATGCTGTAAAGGATATAACTATGAAAAACTATCTTAAGCCACTTTTTTCACATGGAAAGACTGTAATGTACGTGATTTTCCCTGTGAAGTATAAAGTAATACAATCCATTCTTATTCTATTCCCTCATGCTTCTGCACACATACCCATGTGATACTAATATAACTTTTGGCTTTCATTATCAAATTCTGTAGCTGAAAGCAGGAGTGTTATCTAGCCAGTTTGACCTATGTGATCTGATTATAATGTTTTTTTCAGCTCTTCCATTGGTTTCCTCCAGAAGGAGCAGTATGCTGGGGACTAGAGCTGAACTTGTACACCATTCTAGGCAGACTGAGTATTGTGCCTCTTGCATTTCATCTACCTTTTGCTGAAGACAAAGACTCATAATGGGGGTGGTAATGCTGTACAAGAGAAACTAATCACACTTACCTTATAGTTACAGTAAGTGCAGTTATTTGTCTATGCTTGTCTAGGGAAACAAGAGTCCAACCCCCATTGCCCATGCTACGTAAAAGCTCTGGCTGAAAACATCTCAACCTTTGTCAATGGTTAAAAAAAACCTCCTTTGATATCCATGGTGAGATGGCCATCCATTTTCTGTTTAAAAACATCCCAGAAAGGAATCAGTAAATGCTTTCTTACCTCTGCATCTAAATGTAATCACTTCTCCTTCTAATGCTTCTTGGCTTTGAGGCCGACACTCAAATTGTGGAGGGATTCTCTGAATCTTTATTTCTGCTGCACTCTTCTTTAACTCAACATGATTTTCCAATTCTTCAGGGGTCAGATTATCTGGCCTGGTAGACAAAGCAGCCTGGCAATCTGCTGCCAGTAATTGCTTTGTTTTTTCTCCATTAACTTCCAGTTCAGAGGAAACTGCCTTCAATTCTGCCTTTGGTCTGGGCTGTATTTTCACAGAGCGAAGAGTTATGGTGCTTGATGTTTTCTGCAGAACCTGTTGGCCTTTCTTGTCTTCTTTAGGTGGCTCTCTGATGGGTTCCTTCACTTGTTGTAATTGAGTCTCTTTCACTACTTTGGACGGAGCAAGGTGAATTTCTCTCTTCACCAATGGCCTTTCTTTGGATTCTAGCAAAAGCTCTGTAGTAGTTGATTTAAGGTCTTTAACTATCCCATTGCTAGTGGGTTTTCTGATCTCTGAGGTTTCGAAAGCTTTGGTAGTAATGGTGGATTTTGTAGAGGCACTGGGATTTACTGATGTGCTAAAGGGAAAATATTTTCTTAAGCCAAGAGAACAATTTGTAAAAGTAAATGTATTTCTTAAAAACCACTTGCTTAATGTTTGAATGTTGATTTTAGGCAGATCATTTGATTTCTGTTCCATGACGTTGTTTCCCATCAAATGTGTATAATATTTTATGTAAAAGGAACAGAACTGCATTTTGACATGCTACTTCTGTATAAACAAAACAATTGTGGATGAGGCAAGCCATTCTTTATAAGGCCAATGCATATATTATGAGGCAAACCAAGTAAAAATCCCACATTTATTTTTCAGTAACTTCAGTAAAAATAATTTCAATAAACAAAGGTTGAAACATTCAGTTCCAGCTAACTCACTGTGGGACAGCTCGCCATGGACAACTCGCCACAGGACAACTTGTGGTAATATATCCATCATATTCTTGTACAGCTTTGTAAGATCTGGGGGTATCACAAACGCTCCTCATGAGGGCAGTAGTGTCTTTATGATGAGAGTTTGATCCTGTTATGGTCTGCTAAGCTCAGAGACCAGGAATGTGCGTGGGAGTTCACAGTACCTAGCCGAGCCATTCCCATGAGACCTTTGGTGCCCTGCTTTCTCACGGGAACTTTATCACCTTCGCTGAGGCCTAGCTAGATAATGTTGCTGAGCTAATGTTGAAGTCATTGTTTTGATTTTGTATTTGCATTTTCTTAATAAATACTGCTACCCGAGGGCTCTCGGGGCTGGCAGTTGCTCAGACGTCTTCCCTGCGTCTCCCATTTTTTTTCAATTGTCAGTCCACCACACAACTCACTGCAGGACAAGAGTTACACTAATATCAAAGAAATGGTGGAATAGAATCATTTAAGAAAGGATGAAAAAGGAAGGGCAGAATGAAATATGAATGGAAAAAATTAAAACTAATTTTTATTTATTTAAATAATGAAATAGTTAAACTGTCCTGTGGCGATTAATTGATAAACTGTCCCACAGCAAGTTGGCCAGTGGCAAGTTGGCCAATGGTGAGTTGGTTCTAATGAGTTGGCTGTGATACGTTGTCCCATTCTGCTCTCAGAGAGTCAAAAGCTGAAATGCTCTATTACATGACAACCATGTCATGTTTGGCTATTGAAGATTCAAAGACATACATAACTGACAGCAGGTAAGCTGAAGGCTTAAACAATAATAACTAATAACATAAAATGTGTTATCTATGTTGTTTTTAAAAGGTAAAACCCAAGATAACGGAGGAAGGAATGGAAAATACATACCAAAAAGGTTGAGAACATGCATCCCTTTTTAGAGAACCTGAAATGACAAAAGATTAAAAATGAAACATAACATTTCAAGCTAAAGTGTAAATTGCAGTTTGCTTTAAGATAGAACTATACTTCTTGATCCTTGGTCTCATGTTAATTTGTCCCCGAACATAGACATCTGCAGGGAAGAGAACACAGGTCAAATGACCTTGTTGGGCAAATGGCACAGCTTTAACAAGCACAAGTACAAAATAGCAGCATTTGTATGATGACAAAATCATATATACACAATCATTTTAGCACCATTACAATTTAAACCAGATGTAGTTTCCATCCATAGAAAGAGAAGACGAAAAGAATAAACTTAAGAAATATGGAAGGTAAAAATATTTTTATTATTTCTCCTTTCCTTTCCTTTCCTTTCCTTTCCTTTCCTTTCCTTTCCTTTCCTTTCCTTTC